TAAAACATGTCAGCGATACGAGAAATCGATAAAAGTTCTCCTTAAAACACAGGCGGCGTGTGGGACTGTAGGGGATGGGGGTAAAAGCAGTCAATGTCAGGGGGAGGGGGTGAGAACGGAATTGCGCGGGGATAGTTGCACCGTTAGTCGACCTTCGACCACTGTAGGCGCGGAGCCTGAACGTGGTTATTCTGTGCGCATAAGATTGGCTTTCGTAATTTGATGGCGGCCGCTTCCGTTGTCGCTAACAGGCGCTGACCTGGTAGCTTCGCATAGCTCGATGGGACCTTATAAATCACACGAAAAGCTTCGTTGGGGTCCACACGATATCCGGAATCGACAACATGCACGATAACGGCGCTGCTTATGCTCCTCGTTTCGCTTTCCTCAGCCTTGCCGGGAGGAGTTCCCGTATTCTTTTGGATAAGCGCCGACTGGTGCAACCAATATAACCTGCTCCACAGGAGTAAATGAAGGAATATATGCATATTGAGGTGGTCTGCAGTGGAAACTTACCCTTACCTTCTCTGCTTAAGATGGGGTTAGTAGAAAATGATATTTGAATCCTTGCTGCTGGGAAGGTTCGCGCGACAACTTGATCAAGGCGTCTCCTTGGGAGTTCATTCGCAGCGTCCCCTTGGAAAGTTTATTTTTTAACTAACTTGCTTATTCGTTGTCATGTGAAAGCGTACGATACGACTTTCGGAAGAAATCCAAAAAATTTCGGTGTTTTCTGGCATTTCGTCAACTTACTCTCTGGCGTGCTGCCCCACCCGGTAAACCCTCCCCCCTCCCGCCATAATCTCAATTCCCGTGTAACCGAGAGTAAGGTGAGGTTCTCCAACCCTAAGGGTGATTCTATGTTAAATTACGGGGGTATCTATTTCTCCGTCATAACCGCAACCTTAGCTCCTGCCTTAAGTCAACCCCCCCTGAAAATTAGTGTATTAGGTAAAAAAATGGCTACTGCAGTAGCATGCACTTTTTCACATTGATTTTCGGTGGTCTTATAAATTAAAACATATTTTATAGCAATCATACACAAGAATATGTTTTCTACTACTCGTTTAGTAGAAAATCACGTTGTCTTCGCATTTTGCACCCGAAGAAGAGGTATATTTTCGTTTTGAAAAAGTTTTTTATTATGGATTTTTTAGGATTTGTAATGTTCATTCATTCAGCATCGTACCTGTCCGTTTACCAATGCTCCTCATGAAAGCACAACATCGCTCGCATCCATTACAAAATTTCATGAACTCCACATGGTATTTTCTCAAAGCCATAAAGGAATTTATGATTTTCCTTAAGCGGGAAAGCACGCACCTTGTAGACCCGATTCGCTAAACCTTAATGCAACAGCTGATCAAGCTCAGAACTATTCGGGATTAAGAAACTTTTTTAAAACCAAAATATATCCCTTCTTTGGGTGTAAAATGTGAAGACAACGTGATTTTCTATCAAACGAGTAAAAGAAAGCATATCTTTATGCATGTTTTCTGTAAAATATATTTGAATTTATAGGACCATTGAAAATCAATGTGAAAATGCATGCTAATTAACTAGTCACTTTTTTTACCAAGTGCGGTTACTATAGGAGATCGAAAAGAAGTGCATTCAAAGGCCGATATCCCGATGAGTCTAAAATATTATGGAAGTATGCTTCAAGATAGTCAATACTGCAACCCCGTCTAAGTAATCCCTCCTAATCGAAAACGCAATTCAGAATTTCGGCCATCATTTCATAAGATCAGTCACTCATTGTAGTAGCGGCCGAATACCAATTCAAGTGGGGTATCAGCATTAACTCCAACCTAGAGCAAACTAAAACCGCCAAAGGCGCACATCATTATCGGAGCCCAATAGAGGGAGCGGCGGATTACTATCCAGACCACCGCCGAGTATGCCCTCGGTTCCCACGTCGGCAGCACCAGGATTGGTTTCATCACAGTGACGAGGAACAGGTTTTCCACGGCCTACAACCTCAATGGCCGCCACAAGCCTAGCACAAAATAGGCCGACGGAGATGCAAAACTACTACTACCACTATTAATATTACTACTGCTACTACCACCACACCACCGCAGGTCCACAACAAACATTTGACCGGGATTTTAACCAACAACAACAACAACAACAACAACAATGCGGGCGGCCGGGGTTCCCCACATCGACAGCAAAAGGATTGGTTTCATAACAGTGACGAGGAACAGGTTTTCCACGGCCTACAACCGCAATAGCCGCAACAAAATTGATATTTCTGACGCCCAGGCCTAGCACAGCACAGGCCGACCTACCAACTCGAAAGGTTGAGGAGAGAGCGATTAATACTTTCCTTGTAATCACTCAAGTGGTCGATGATCCTTAATTCAAGGGAATTGCGCCACTGGTGAGCCAGAATGGAACAACCCTTCGAATGGGGAATTTAAAAATCGTAGAATGCTGTTTTGCGCATTTCCAGGGCGTCCTCCGAAGACCTACGAAGAAGCCATCAACCGGTTCCTACAAGAAGACACCAGTGACGACCTCGATAGAATGCCTTCCTCTCCCCCCCCCCTCCCCAGAGAAGATCAGAATAGACCAGCGCCGATCCAGTAAGAAAGCACTTCGAGCCCATGCAATTCCAAATAAATTTATCAGTGTGCTCGGAAAGTAATTGCGTTTCTGCATCACTGTGAAATTTGAGTTAACCAAACGTGCGTTTCTGATGACTGTTTTGCTCTGCCATTTATCATCCCGTTCCTAGCTGACATTATCATCGCACTACTCATTACTGAATCGGTTCCACGTCAAAGCGCTATAGATCTGTCGCAAAAAAATTAATGTGTAATGTTCACCTATCCACAAATATCTCAAACGAATTAAAAAAAACATGCACAGAGGGGATTTTGGTTCCACATGAGCTCACAACTGAGATTCGAACACAACGTCCCACCATCTACAGCAGTCTTCTAACCAGGAGTAACAACCTGTCATTTCTGCATCGTGATGTTGTATGTGACTAAAACTTGGCTGTACATCATAACAGAAAACGGACACCCAGATGACGATGACGATCGATAACAAACTGCCTGCAAAGTCGTAGCATAACCCTCAGTGGCCCGTTATAGGATGGTCCCTACTAAACCGAGAACGGTGATCGCTCGTTCGAAACCCCTCTGACATTCAAATGAGATCAGTGTGCGTCGACATTTTCTCTCACAGATGAAAGGGAATGAAAATTACGGTAAGATGCCAGTGTCTATTTAACGTAATGGATAGGGGTCGGTTACTCTGTCCGGGTGCCAAGTGTAGGCGCAATGGTGGCATTGCAAGTAAAATAAGCCAAAGGAGGATGCTGAAATCGTTAAGCTTAAGGGTTCCGGTTAGAGTTATGGTTCAGATTGCGCTTTAGGTTTACATTTACGTTTGGTGTTAAGATTGAGGTTAGGGTTAGTGCTATGGCTAGGGTAACGTTACGGTTAAGGTCTCAGTTAAGGCTAGGGTTTGGGTCACGGTTAAGTTTAGGGTTAGGATTTGGGTCAGGGTTGGTGTTGGGCTTAGGACTAGGGTTTGTGGTAGGTTTAGGGTTAGGTTTATTGTCAAGTCTGGGGTTAGCGTTGGGTTTACAGTTGCGTTAAGGATTAGATTTACGTTTATGCCAAGGTTAACCGTTAGCTTTGGGGTATTGCTATCCCGCGTGTCCTATCAGCCATGTCTTTTGCGGGGATTCTAGGCTTCCTTCAATCTCGCGGCAGATTTGTCATACGTCAGGTTGCCTTTTCCGTTTCAACCTCGGCTACTTTCCACGCTAACGATTTCAGCATCCGCCTTTGGCCTACTTCACCTTCGATGCCCACTTGGGACCAGGATAGCGCGTAGTATTACTTGGGGATATTTTGTTTAGACAAGATCCCAACACAGAATATGGAGGTGGGAGGTCATTGTGTTTGTTAATTGACTGCAGGCCGGAAAACCATGACTCAGGCAGATCGCGACTTACGCGGTCGTCAACTCTTGCGAAGAGTTTGGCCTCGTCCAATCTGAAGGTGTGGCCGAATCTAAACTGCTTCCTCGGAGACACACCCATTCTCTTCTAGAGGCGGGACGCACTACGATGCGTTCGATGGTGGAAAACATTAGCCCTTCATGATTTGCCTATCTGTGTGGCAGGTTCGTTTTCTGCACATGCGTCTCAACAAAAAACGTGTTTCCTTTAAACCCAAAGCTGGCGAGGCCCGCATTACTTAAACACGGCAGACGAAAATCTGAGTACTCCTTAAAGACTTGAACTCGGGACTTCGCGATACGGTCAAAGTACTGACCACTAGAAGACAATGTGCTGCGACTTCAGGACGAGAACGGTACAAAACTGTTTTAACCGCACGAGCCTGTGAACAGAGAATGATTTGCTGGTGCAGCACTGGGAAACAAGTTCCGTAAACTGCCTTGCCCAACGTCATCCGAAAACGACAAACTGGTGCACAAGCTGTCGTCAGAGAACCTAACAGAGGAACAATTGCAGATGCTAAGGCAGCTGGCGACATGCCTGTCAACGGGATTTTAGCGGCGGGGTCAGTTCTCTGTCAGACGCAAGCGACAGACGAAATGAGGAACCTAATCCAACACCAAGTGTCGTGCCTCCTCGTGGTTCATAGGCCGTGTGAAGTACTTCCACGTGTCGAACGTAATGCACAAAGGGAACTGAAAACTAACAAAGGCGAAATTTCGAGTTCCAGGTGTATGCTTAAGTGAAGAAGAGTCGAGCAGCGGAACACTGTTTATTGCCCTGAGCTCTCAGACTCGTACAGGAGTCCATCGTCAGAGGTAGCAGCAGCAGCAGAACAAGCGACAGTTATAAGGCATGTAAGCCAATCATCGATCAACTGCGCAAGACTGGAGGTGACTACGCAGGGCTCTGTACGCCGGCGCCAGATCGATAAATCGATCGACCGCAGCCACCAAAATAGTCGTCCACGCGGGAAACAAAACAGGCCGAGAATTGATTGAAGCCTTGGCCTCGGATGAGAACTCGGTCATTTGATTTATCGATCTGGCGCCGGCGTACAGAGCCCTGCGTAGTCAGCTGCAGTTCTGCGCCGTCGGTCGATGATTGGCCTACATGCCCTATAATTGTCGCTTGCTCTGCTGCTGCTGCTGTTGCTGCTGCTGCTGCTGCTGCTGCTGCTGCTGCTGCTGCTGCTGCTGCTGCTGCTGCTGCTGCTGCTGCTGCTGCTGCTGCTGCTGCTGCTGCTGCTGCTGCTGCTGCTGCTGCTGCTGCTGCTGCTGCTGCTGCTGCTGCTGCTGCTACCTCTGACGATGGACTCCTGTACGAGTCTGAGAGCTCAGGACAATAAACACGGTGTTCCGGTGCTCGACTCTTCCTCTTCACGAACAAAGGCCTCGTTATCGTGCCCGCGGACGAAGGGGTTTCCACTGGACAGGGCAGACTATCGCGGCAGGCTAGGCGGAGACTGAGAACCTGGCTACCACGACCTTCAGGCCCGGTCCCGAATGGAAAGAGAAGGCGGACGCCAGTGGGAAGGATAATATATTCCGTACAGAATAACTGGAGGAGTTGGAGGAAGCTGGCAGCCGGACAAGGACACCTCCGGCGCCGGCTGAACGGCCTCCCCAGCGTGTGTGAAGGAATGCGTCAAAGCGTCTTAAGCCAGGACACGTATGACTCGGCCTTGAATCTGATTGGTCGGTTGGAAAGCCGAGTGGGCCAATAACAGACAACCCTGGTGCGCGCGTGCAGACACTCGTGGGAGGCCCAGCGTTGCGACAGGCGGCGCTAGGAGCAGGGACACTAAAAGACTATCTTCAGAAAGTCAAAGGCCTGATGTAGGACCGCCGGTCCTATATCCCATGACAATTCAGTCTCCAAAAAATGCTGACATGCCAAATCAGTGCGACGTTGTTGGCAATTAAGAACTCAGCTGCAATATCGTCGATCGACTGACGCATGATCAGAGCACAAAGAGGGCCCTTTTCTCCGGCCAGTTGTATCACTAAAAGGCACGCCAACCTGCGGACTGGCAAAGGGGCTGTTTCGATGTCTTAAATTTCTGACCACTGATTCAGACACCATTTTCAGCTCGTCAACACAATACTTGGACAAACTAAATGGATTAAGTCTCCGACCAAATGATGTCATAGCATCGACTGACTTCGCGTCTCTTTTTACTTCTGTGCCCTAGAATATTGTTGTCGAAGGCATCGACTTACTTCTGCGAAACAAATACGATTAACCTGACCCAAATGTGACTAATCTCACAGCTTCCGGTGCGGTCTCGTAGCTCAGCCGATTAGAGCGCATCTTCCTTCCTTCCGTGGGTTCGAATCCCACCGAGGCGTCAGGTTTTTCGCAATTGGGCCGAAATTAAGTCCAACATAAACGGGTGTGGATCCCACCTCTCATTTTACAGACTGACTGGTTTAGTTAGGAAGTTCAGTCTAAAGTAATATCAGGACCAACGATGACATTGCCTACCGGCCAGCCAGACCTACGATCGGTATTAACATACTGCCTATATCATGCGCCGCTGTGCGGCTGCTGGTTGGACTCGAGAGAGAGCCCGTAAGGCACAACTGAACGAGTGAGTTCCGTAAGAACGATCGGTGAGCGCCCCCTACCAACCTTTGAAGTCGTTTGCTGAGTCTGTTGCATTTACGGACACAGCCAATGCCTCGAAAAATTTGGGGAATAACTCCTAACCCAAATGGCTGAACATTCGGCAGGAGTGAAGAGGAATGCTGCTATTTCACAGATCGCGGACAGTGCGACGGGATGCTGCCACATCTCCAAAGTCAATGAAGCCAAGATCCTCGCGATCGGCACAGCTGATGCTGGTTTGTGTGGGTGTGTGATGGCATGGTAACTGAGTTCTATAAGTACTGCGCTTCTTATACCTCCACTACGCTACTCTGCGTCTGGTCCTGATGATAGGCTCAAGTCGGAATCCGAAACGTCAGGTCAATAAACTTCTCGTTCTAACGATCGCTTATTCTGATTCAGAACTGATTCCTGGAATTCGCCTCTACGTTTCAATATGGTACAGTTTAAGTTGACGTCAAGCCGTCGTCACGCGCGGCGTAAGCATTCGATTGACGACGGGTGCTAGGCAGAAAAAAGGCGAAAATGATAACCGGCGGCAGTGACGGTGGCTGCTTAAGGGGTTATTGGTTGCCGCTATAGTTAGGACCAAATTTTGGGGTTAATACGAGACGGGCGGTCAGGTCGACTGAAGAACATCTCCCGGGTGGTTGACTCTACGTCAGTTTGACCGACGCCCATAAGCAGAAAGTATTTTCCGAGTCATCCCAGGATTTTGGACTAAAATGAGTAGCCTTCTTAGGGATAGAAGTGATTATTGTTGACCGCCAAGTAAAAGGTATATTTGACTTCAAGATTGACATGTTATTAGGGTGGTTCGGATGTGGTCATGTAGCCCCACCTGAGGTAAATAAACCCCAGCCGCCTGCAATACGAGACCGGTGGTAATAGGGGGTTTTTGCAGGTAGGGCCGGAGGTCAAGCAATTGTATGCAAAAGAAAAGCTATTAGAGATGCGCGGTTGTAACTTGTATGGTTGAAAAATAGTTGCCCTAACCCCCAACCCTAAGCACTAACCCTTAACCCTAACCCTTAACCGCAGCCCTAAATTTTAGCCCAACACTACTGTGTCCATCAGGTGGGGCTACATAACCACATCTTACCTACTTTTCATCCACAAGAGTCCTCATTATGAGCCAATGTAAACAAGGTCTGAATGCGTTTCATGCCGGTGGGCGACATTATGCCAGTCTCGCCTGGATCGCTTGCTGATCCCAACGCAGATAATCGATCAATGCTTCCAGTGCGTAGAAGGCAACATTCCCTGAATGCATACTTGTTTGAGTCAGCTGCCTGAGCTATTTACTGTGAGCGACTCTACGCCTCCCACAACTGACCTAGCCTACGATACAACGCACTCCATTTCAAGGAGGTTAGCTTGTATGTACCAGCCCACGTTGGTGCACTGTATCGTTTGCAAATAGATTTATGATTCTCCCTCATGCGCATATGTTTACTGTTGAACTTTCGTATGATCTCTGCATAAAAGCAGTTGAATTGGGAGGCAGCGCTCTGAACGAGAGCATCAGAAGTTGCGAGATGACTCGGACTGTTGTAGTACTCAGCACATTGCTTGTAGCGACTTTCGGAGTAGTGGCTCAGATGGATGAAGGATTTTGCCCCATTCACTATCCCTTTTGGGAGACATGTGAACCCTGCATCTGTACATGTATTCAACAGGCCCCTCGGATTGGAGGAAGCACAGAAAGACCGCCAAACTCGACAAATACGGAACCTCAGTTAAAGCCGACAGCTCAGCCAGACTTAGTACCTCCGTCAAATTCTGAAGATTTGGCACCTGCAACAACTTCTACATCCTCAATATCTTCGGCCTCCCCGACACCTTCGGCAACTTCGGATCCTGCAACGACCACGGATGCTTCGACGACGTCGGATCCATCAACAACCTCGGATCCTTCAACAGCATCTTATCCTCTGATAACATCGGACGCTTCGACAACCTCAGATCCTGCAGCGAACTCGGATCCTTCGGCAACATCAGATCCCTCAACAACATTAGATCTCTCAACGACCACGGATCCTGTGACGACCTCGGATCCTGAAACAACTTTAGATCTTTCAACAACCTCGGATCCCATAACAACATCGGAACCTACGACGACCTCAGATTCTGCGACGACCCCAGATCCTCTAACGACCTCCGATCCTGCAACGACATCAGATCCTGTAACGACCTCAGATTCCGCAACAACCTCAGATCCTGCAACATCCTCGGATCCGGCGACGACCTCGGATGCAACAACAACCTCAGATTCTGCGACGACCTCAAATGCCGCAACAACCTCAGATCCTGCAACGACCTCGGATGCCGCAACAACCTCAGATCCTGCAACGACCTCAGATCTTGTAACGACCT